ACTCTGACTTGGGTGGGCGAGTAGGACCCCTGCTTCCTGGATGAGCCCCCTCTAGCCAGAGCCCTCGGCTTTCCGTTTTCTGAGACACTGAGTTATTTCCTCCAACTCTCACCTTTAAGCCTTCCTTTTCCGTTCCCTGGAGAAGTGACTCACTGCTGAAGTGTTGGGTGACACTGAGGATCAAGGATGGGTGATAAAAATACTCCTGATTGTGCAACTTGGGGAAGGGGATGCAGTTTGGGCGGAGAATTCAATGTGCTGCTCGGGAACTCCGAGGCTGGGGTGTGATCAATGGCCACGGCTTCCTCTCGTTGGGAAGTGGAGCAGAGAATGGAGTTCAAACACAAATTCACCCCAGTCAGTCGGATTTGCTGCGGAGCCCCTGGTTCTACCCTTTCAAACGTGTGTTTCTGAGAAAGGCACATAAAGCCAGGCACTCAGCACAACAAACGTGGCTCACAACGGCCCAGGCCCTTCCTCCCATAAGCCCTGTGGGGCCTGGCAGGGGCCCTGAGAGCAGGCCTGTTTCTTTCTGGGTTTTCTCTCCAGTGAAAATAACCGTACTTCCCCAGCGTGGGAGGAATGAAGGCAGCCAATGCGACAGATGCAGGCTCCAGGCTGGCTGCGGCGACCGATGCCATAGATGCCTTCAAGCAGGGTTACCAAAGGCTGCCCTGCACGCAAGCAGCACCAGCCACGGCCCAGCTGTTCTCCCAGATGGAAACTCACCTTCCTTCACCCAATTCACTGGATGCAAACTAGATATTTTCTTCTACGTAATCTTCATGGGCCTCAAGGCTGAGCAACACAAAATACAATTTTCTTCAAAGGATAACTCCTCAGCAGGTCACAAGCTATTCAAAATCTAGGAACAGAGGCAGCAAAGTCACCCCATCCGAGAAGCTAAACAAATAGGAGCAGAGATACTCATAAAAATGGAGAGAAATCTATGCACGTACATGTGTGCACAATGGAGGGAGGTGCAGCTGAGAATGTCACAACAGGAAAGTTCATGCTACAAAACCTTAATTTGCCAGGAAATTAAGGCAAAAAAACCCAAAAAACCAACAACCTTAAAAGCTGCTGGTGCAATTCCAGAAGACTGAGAAACCTGGCTCAGCAATGATGGTTAGTTTGCTTTTTAAAGGTGCCTCACTGACAAAGTGCTCTTCCCACAGTCAGCAACCTTCCCCACCAACATATGTGTACACACACGCGCGTGAGCGCTGACCTTTCTGGGAGGGTATGTGACCCCCAGAGCTCCCTAAATGCCCCCCAACCTCAGTCAGTGAGTCACTGGCAGAGGGCGAAGGAGGTCCAGGGACACTGCCACAGGTTCCAGCATCAGAGTCACAGTTTATAGAACTGCAAACCTCTTCGTGTGAGGCACCGGACACTCACATCCTCTGACTCACTGCAGAGAGGCTGGGGAGCGAAGGCCGGACTCCGAAGAGTAGTCCATGTCTAACCAGGCAGCCTCAGACAGAGAAGATGCCCAGTGACTTCCTTCCCCAGGTCCCTACAAGTATTGGCAGGCACAGTCCCTAAGCCAGGCTGCCCTCGGTAGCACAAAGGAGCCGCTTTCCATGCTTCCCAAACTCACCCGGGCAGGCAGTGGGGAGGGAGGTGCCAGCAAGCTCAAGGAGGGTTTTTTTCAACTGATCGTCTTGGGAAAAACCAGATACAAATTTCACGGCTGGAATGCAAGAGTTGTGAAATGCTGGAAGAAGCCCCAAAGAGGGCTAAGGACTCTCCTTCCGGGAAGGTGGTGGGCGGAGGGTTGGCAAGGGCTAGTAGGAGAGGAGCAGGTTGCCTAGAGGAGGACTGCCTTTCTGGGAAGCAGGAAGTAAGGCCTCAAGTCAAAAAGAAAGAAATCTCCAAGCTCTGAAGTGGTAGAGGGGCCAGAGATAGGGTTGGTTTTGTTTCTGAACATGAAGAGAACAAGGCTTTGTGTCAAAAAGCAGTTCTGGTATAAATGGGCCAATTATGACACAGCTTGTTATCATTTCTGGGATTTGGAAGCGTGAGGCTGAGGTTGACAGCATGTCCTTTCTAGAATTAAATACAAACAGTGAGCTTCTAACATGGGGCGTTAGCCTTGTCCTTGGTATCACATGAGAGGTATCTGTTCATGCTCTGACGAATTAAATAAGGTCCACCAGTGAGTGTTATTACTAACTCAGAGACATAGTCTCTGATCATGGGGTCCCTCACGAGGTCCCTGATCATGGGGTAAGGAAGATCACACTATCTTAATGGTTGATAAATTGCTGTAAGCTCCACCCTTTTCCAACCTTGGGCAGTTCCTCATTAGCCTCTCTATACCTCAGTTTCCTCATCTTAAGATTATTTACTTCACAGGGTGACTATGAGGATGAACCAAATGCATACGGTATAAAGCACTTGGAACATTACTTAGCACATAGTAGGTACTATTTAAGTGATAGCTGCTATTGAGGTGTGAAAAGAGCTGCTATTGTGACTCCTAAAGTAGGCCAGAGCCCAGCTTCTAATGTCCAGGCTCCATTAGCTCCTCTGAACTGCAGCTTCCTCAGGCCACATTCAGACCCATGAAACTCCACGCATCAGAGTGCCCCAGCCCAGAAAGCCTGACTAAAGGAAAAGCAGACACGCAGACACAATAAGACCCACGCTGGTTGCTCCCCCACAGGGAGAGGAGCAAACACTGGTGCCAGCACATTTGGGGTCGGCTTTCTCAGCTGCAATCCATGTGGTTTATCTGAAACGGGGTCAGGTCCCAGAGTGGGCAGCACAGATATTACAATTGTGCTTGCTAATCTGAACTGAGTCCATCGTCATCGATCCTGAAATAATAGGGAGCTGGAGTCTTGAGAGATTTGAGGGGTGTGTTGGAAAATGTTCTTGGCAAAGGAGGAGGAACCATTTCTCAACCAATTCCAAAACATTAGTAACCAGCACTGAGAACCTCAGAGGCGATGATCTGAATCTCTCCAAAGTACAGATTCCGGCACCTTGGAAACCTGACTGGGTACTTGAGCTGCAGGGAGGGGAGACACCCCAAAGGGCTGCCACCTCTGGTCTGTTCACACCCGTCTCTCTGTAGCTCAGCCAACTCAGGCCAAAGTGTGGAGGCTGCAGCCTCTGCCTGGGTTTACAGACAACCCTCGGGACCAGATCTGATGCCCACTGCCCAGTAAAGAGGAGCTGAGTGTGGGCTGTGTGTGTGCATCCAGGAATCCAGAATCTTGTGCCCCCTTGCAATGTCTGGGGGCACAGCAGCTGGAAGTGTGCCCTAGACAGGGAGTGAGATCTCAGGCCTATCCGAGTTATACAAGAGAGGCAAGTGGGGTGTGTCTCCACTGTCCAGAAACCGGGACCTTCCAGAGCTGGGAGGACCACCTGGACTAAGACTGTCTGCAAGTTACAGGCAATATGCTTGAGCCTTTAAGCCTTCAAGTACCTCCCTGCCTATCACTAATGCTAATGGAGCCTAGAGGGGGAGGCTAACCTCAGGGCACAAAAAGGAGTGTGGCCCTGGGACAGGGTCCAGACTCACAGGTGGAGGGTTTCCAGATGCCCCATGACCTGGCCACCTGTTGCTGTCAAGAGGGTTCACAGTACTTCGAGGCAGCTACTCCAAGGCAGCTGGCTGGAGAAACCCACTGGCTGGAGTTGAAAACTGCTTTGAGATGGCAGTAGAGGTTTCTCCTGATTCTTACCAACTCTCATGACTTCTGGATAGCAGATTCACCAGGTGAGCCATCTTGGGCAGCCATGTTCCCAGAATAACTCTCCTTACTCCATAATCTGCTCCCAAGTTACAGCTTTAACTTTAACCAGCCAGGTCGCCCTGTTCCATCCTTGTCAGCTCCTTCCCCTGCTTGTTAAAATTCTAGGGCACCTTTAAGATTCAGCTCATGTTCTTCCTCCTCCAAGAAGCCCTCCTTAACTACTCCAGGTCATGGTGACTGGTCTTTTCTGTACTGCATTAAATCACTACCACTTCTGGGGCTTAGGGATGAGCATCTGAAGCTAAAATTCAAAGAAGTAGCTATTTCCAACAAACTGCATCTACAGCCAGACTCACACCAATTAATTAATGAATTATTTAAATTGTTTCAGCTCATGTGCCCCCCAAAAGAGCCTACACCTCAAATGGACCCCTGGGTCCTGAGCCTGCCACACAGCAAGCGTGTAATAAAGACTTTAGAAGAAGCCTTACTGGTCACCCTGGTCTTGCGGGAGTGCCGCTTCCCTTTTAGCCCAGAGCACAGCAACTTCCTCCCTGTCAGGCCAGGTCCCGACTCTGGCCTGCCAGCTCCCAGGTATCCTGTCAGCAGCTATTCCCCAGAGCTGCCCTGGAACTAGAGCAGAGGGGGGTACCCAGCTCCAGCCCTGCCCACTATTTGTCCCCTATCAGAGGAAGAGAGGTCAGCAGGAAACGGATCTGACCTCTGGGGTGGCCACAGTCTCTCCCAAGGGCTCTAGGGGCCCCTGGACAGGCAGCAGAGGCCTGCAAAGGGCTTCCCTTCCCTGCCCTGGGCCCCATGGAAGGGAGGCAGGAAGAAGGGCCTCAGTGCAGGCATCCAGTATGGGGCTGGCCAGACAGGGAGGCCCCTGGGGTTGCAGCTATCAGCCGGAGACCAGGCTCCAGGAAGGAAGGAAGGGCAACTCTGGCCGAGGCCGAGATAAGGAGGGGAGCCGTGCTCAGCACAATGGGCTCCCACAAGGCTGGGAGGCCCCAAGTCAGATTTCGCCCCAACTTGGCCTCCCGTCCACTCACACAGCCCATGTAAATATTTACTAGTGTTTATATTCCTGCTGTGCTGGGTCCCCTCTGAGGCCCTTTCCTATGACCCACAGATCTGTGTGCCCCAGACCCTGGGCCCATTCAGCAAGGGCTATCAGCATTGTTCTCTCTCATGCAGGCCCTTCAGGACAAAACTGCCCCCTTGTTCCAGCCCTGGTTAACCGTTGTCGGAAGCCATGCTAACCCCCTGTGAGGGCGGGGAACTTACGGGGCCCGGTCATGGGTGAGGCCATTCTGCCGCTGAGGGTTGATTGGCGGAAGGACAGGTTTGCTGTTGATCTCAAGTCCTCTCCTCAGGGTCTCCCGGATCTGCTCCGTGTCTGCAACAACACCACTAAGTCGCCTGGTGTCCCTCTGGGCTCCCAGCATCCCCCAACCCTGTCCCCGGAACCTGGCTCTGGAGACGTGCTGGTGAAACGCCCCCCTGAAGGCCTTCTGAGCCTGTTCCAGGCATCAGCTGTGAGATCTGAGTGAGTGTAGCATGGGGACACAGGGCAAATAAGGTACCATGTTCTCAAGAAACTTTTGGTCTGAAGAGTGCCATTCTTGTAGAAGACAAGGGGTGGCCTCTGGGCTTCAGAAGAACACCCTCCAAAACAGGGCTCTTCTCCACTGTCCTTTCCTTCCCTGCATCACAGCCCACAGCTTTAACCGTAACATAGCTCCAGAAAGTGACTGCCAAGGCCTCTGCCATTGCCCCAGACCACCCGGGGATTCGGCCCACTAAAATGAACGCCAGTAAGGGCAGCAAGTGCCCTGCCATGAATGCGCAGGTGTCTCTTACACAAGTTTCTGGGTTGTGGGTGGTCAGCTGGTTCTGGCCCTGCCACTCCTTCCCCATGGGCTGGGGTCAGTAGAATGCTGAGGTCATCTCCCCACATTGGCCCGGGGTACCCTGCTTCTCCATGGGTCTGGCAATGGCCAGGAAATGAGAGAGGAATCTCTTGGTGGGATTATTGCTTTGCAAGGTGCTCTGCTGATCTTTGGGTGAAGCCTACTAGTCTGGTCCCCTATATTGAGATTTTAGTCTAAGACTTACCTCTGCAAACTGCAAACTCATACAAAAAAGCAAATAAATGAACATTGGTTGCTCAAAGGGTAGGCTTAGAGTGGAGAACAGAGGTGATTATTAACTTTTCTGTTTGACTTGTTATAGTAGCATGGATTACTCTTATAATTACAAAAAAATCTAATAATGGTGAAATTTTGGACAAGACTATGCATCCCTCCTTACATCACCTCTTTTGTCAAAAGCAACTGAATGATTCCAATAACTGTACACGTTATCTCAGAGCCTCCCCTGGGTTTGGCACACCATTAGAAAAAACAGGAAGGAAAGAAAGGGTCAGACATTTGTGCTAGGGGTTTAAGTTGCCCCTTAAGGAAACAGAAAACCTTTCATAAGTGCTATCACATATGCAGGTATTTTATTCAGAACTGTAGGTATCTTATTCTTCAAAAAATAAGAACAGGTGGAAGAATAGAGAAGGGAAGTAGAAAAAGAAGCTGTGAACATGTATATATGTAAATGGCTGCTTTTCTTTTGGAGTTAGTTATGGATGCCCTTTGCTAAAACCCACAACTGTTTCTATGGCCAAGACCAGCATGGTAAGTTTCCAACAGGAAAACCATATCCTCGTTCTCCAAGGCCCCACCCGGAATGCAGTGGGTACAGGGTCCTGTGCCCACAGCCCCTTACACTGTGCCTGCAGGACAGTGGGGTGGGAAGTTTGCGAGCTGGCCTCACACTCAGGCCTTTCTCCTCTAAGGCCTGGGAGGGCCTGAGTGATCCTCGAGTCTGGCATGGCTTTCGGGCCAGAGCTGGGCCCTGTGTCAATTCCGTGGGTGGCCGACGCTTATTCTCTTGCACTTGGGTGGACTGTGGCCTTTTCCTGTAACTGTTCTATGGCTTCCACTCACCTCCATGACCTCAGATTGCAAGGGGGTAAATCTAAAACACAATGGTCGCTGCTGGTGGTGCATTTGAGATACACACAGGAAACACAGGAGAAATGGGCCAATAAAGCTCCCTTAATTCCACCCATGCTGTTTAAATACTGTCAGGAAAGAAACTATTGAATGGGCTGTTTATATTAGAGACCCATCTTATAGAGCCTGAAAACCAAGCCTGGAGAAAGGAAAGGGGGAAGGCCGGGAGACAGTTCCTACCTTTGCCAGAAAGCCTCCGGGGCTGTGTGCCAATGCAGATGCTCCGGCTGTCCTCGTCGTCCTCAGGGGGCCGGCTCAGGTCATCCCAGGCACACTTGGCGCTGACGCCGCTTAGATTGGAGCCGTCCGTCTCAATGCCTTTGTCAACTCTCTCCTGCTTGGAAAGAACCAAAGAACCAGAGTCTCTTGAGTGAACCTGCGGTCCAAGGTCACCACCACCTTTGCAGTATTTACTGAGCCCTTGCAGGTGCTGAGCGCAGGACTAGTGCTAGAAGAGCAGGATCTATGATCTTCTTCTGCCCTGGTTACTAACTCATGACAGCCTCTGCCAGCCACTGGTCTCCTCCAGGGGAACCAGGGATTAGGGGAAGCCAGGAAGAATAAAAATCCCAAGAGAAGCTTCTCCTATATCATCAACCTTCCAGTAAAATGACTTTTATACCCGTTTTGGAGCCTCGACTCTGCCCACCCCATCCTGGCCTGGGTTGCCGATGTGGCAGAGTCAGGAACTACTTCCCTGAGGAAAGGCACAGTCCTTCCTCTCCTCTCCTCTCCTCGTTCAGGAAGAACCCCCCGGCCGCTGCTACAGAGGACAGGGTGGAAGCGGGCCACAGGTGGGAGAGGCCAGGACTCAGACCAGCTTCTCCCTTGGCTCCACATCTGCAGTTTCCTCTTCTAACAGCAGGGGGTGCAGTCACACAGTGAAGCACCACCAGAGAGCCCAAGGGCAGGACTTCCTGCATTGCTAACTGGTTTGGCAAAGGGCTCTGGATGGAGTTGCTTTTCCATTTCTTGGAATGAAAGGGGGCCTGGGGGGCACTGAGCATCTGCAGACCCCACCAGAGGCCCTGCCTTCATGCAGGCCTCGGCACTGTTGAGTCCAAACAGTCTCTAAATGGTCTCACCAAATGGTCTCTGGGGAGAGTTAGACCCAAATATCCCTGGGATTTCTATAATGTTGGGCTTTGGATTCAAGGTCATCTGGAAGGCTCTAGCAACCTTGTTCATTAACAACCCTGTGGGCTAAATAAAGCTCCTAAGTGAGCACCTCAGTAAGAGTCTTTACCTCCCTGTCTGCCTGCCCTTCTCCCCACGCCTCCACAGGCACCAAACTTGCCTGCTGGTTGGCCAGGGAGCCTATCAGGGAAGCACAAGGTAAGCTTACATAAGGTCTTATTTCCTGAAACCAGGCCCTGCCCTGGATGCCTCCTTCCATCAATCGCTCTCTCCTCCTTTCCAGTGCTACCGTTAGCCCAGGCAAAGCTGGGATTCTGAGCAGTGACAGGGAGAGGCTGATGACAGGGAACACCTCTGTGCTCCAGGCAGGAGTGTGCGGGCCCCAGTTTGCTCGGGGTAGAGTCTGAGCTTTCCCCTCTCCCCTGGCCACCCTGAGGTCCCTCACTGAAGCAAAGAGCTGAGGGTACCTCTTGGCTTAATTAGCAGAGACCACTTGCTTTATAAGTAAAAAAAAAACAAAAACAAAAACAAAAAAGTTAAGACCCAGAGAAGTAAAGGGGCTTGTTCAGGCACACAGCAAGCTAGTGGTAGAGCTTGGAGCAAAGGACCAGGAGCAAGCTCTAAAATGAACCACCTGCAGGCAGGCCCCAGACTGGCACAAGTGAGCACACAGGAGTTCCCAGTGGTGCACACAGCCACCAGGAAAGAAGGCTGGACTTTCTCACCAAGGTCCACCTGCTTGCTTTTAAAGACCACTAGGTGCTCTTGGTCCTGCTGGCTGGTCTCAGCAGAGCCTAAAGACTAGGAAGAGAACTATTCTTGGCAGGCAGAGAAAGGACGGGCTGCTTACCCTGCTAGTTCAAAGGACCAGGTTCTTTCTTAGCACTTGGCACTTATGACAGGAGCCAAACAACAGCACAGTGTCCCAAGCTGGATCCCAGTGTGGCTATAGAACAAGGGCTTAGGGAAACGTAGCATTAATGGTTCCTGGTTCTTGCATAAGCAGAAGCTACAAGGAAACCAAGTTTAAAGTAGAGATAACAGAAGATCCTGGCAGCAATTTGAAAACTTCAGTGTTAATGGCGCTAGGAAAATAGAGGAGCATCATCTGTGAATCAAGAGGGTTTCTGCCCAAGAACTCATAGGTCTGTAGTAAAAAACCCAGGGACTGTTGGCTATGTGTCCACCTGCTACCTCTCCCCTGCCACCTCTTGTCCCTCCTAGAAGACACGTAATTCCTGGGAGCTGCCTTTGGCCTACAAGATTTTTACAGAGGCATAAAAGGTTCAGAGATGGCAATGACCTGCAATTGGTGGGAGGGAGGGAGAGGAAGGAGAAGGAGGCAGACACATGCCAGGCACATTATTAGCTGTCAGCTGCTCCTGCTTCATAAGGAGCCCGTAAGAAAGGAAGTTATGCTCTATGTGGCTTCCAAAATTCATCTGCATGCAAAAAGAGTGCTTCTTTTAAAAAACCAAAGGCAACACTGAAACTCTATACAGCTGGGCTACAGTGAGTGGGCACCTGCAGGCCTGTATGTATGAAGACTTCCTTTATACATCAAGGAATGCCAACCTACCCAGGGAAGGTTGTCTGACTGCCCAAGATGAAAATGTATATGAAAAGGGGATGGGATCATTAGACCAATCAGGGCACCCCTTGCAGTTGGGCTGTGGGGTCAATATCACCTATTCTGTCTGTTACAAGGCGATGGTGGCAGCGGTGGGATGGCTCCTTGAAAGAAAGTCTGTGTTCTTTTAAGAAAGGGGAAAGTGGGAGGGTAAATACTAGGCAAACAAGACCCACTATATTGATTTTCCTTAGTTGCTGGTGATCTTATTTTTTTAAGTCAGGTTTATTGGTATATGATTTGTGTATGATTTTTGTACAATAAAATTATCCTTTTAAATGTAAAAACACATGTGTCTGAGACCAGGTTTCCTAGCCTGAAATCTCTGCTCCCTTATGCGCTCTGTAGAATTCAGGGTACAAGTCCAAATCATGCCATATTTCTATTCACTCACAAATAAAGCTCCTCCGTTTTCCCAGGATGAAAGCCAGTGTTATTTGGAAGAGGCCTAGTCACAGTGTGCTAGAAAGGTTTTCCTCACTCAAGACATACTTGCAGGTGTGGATCGATCTCAAATATGGTCTCTCCCCTCCGCATGTCAGTTATCAGCCAGGGACCGCCAGCGCTGTGGACGAAGAAAGGGAACCAGATGGTAACCGAGAGTCTGGGCTGGGCCCAGAACACGGGAGCGGTTAGTGGTAAGGAGCCATCAGGGAATGAGTCGTCAGGAAGCCCTGATGTGAAAAATTAGTGCCTGAACAGCATTGTAAGGGAAAGCCCACGTGTGGGGGAAGGAGGGACCCCCGCCCCCAAGGCCTGAGAAGCCAGGCACCTACCTTGTAGGGAGGGAGTGTACTCACATGGGCACCGTCCGCAGCAGCTCCAGGATGCCCTGTCCGTTCCACTGTTGGGCTGCATGGAGCTCCTCAGTGCAGACGCCAACAATCTGAGACCGAGGGACAAGATGCCATTCATGTTAATGGCCATTGCTCCCACTCATCCAGGTCAGCCACCACAAGTGATGGGACCACAGGCAGGATCTGTGCTCAGGGGCTGGTGCATCCAAAATGGGGTGGTGCCTTTAGGAGGGAACAGTTGCCTGGCCAAGGTATGGATGGGTCCACACCTGGGGGCACTGAGGCCCGATTCTTGCTCTGCCGTGATAGGTCAGGTGTCTAGCCCTAGACTGCAGAGGAGAAAATCAGGGCCCTGCAGACTCAGGATGGGTCCCCAGTCCATGTCCCTAGAAACAGGGAAGGTCCAGGGTGACGTTCCTGCCCAGTCGAGGATCATGGGGAATGTAAACAGAGGTGATTTTGAGACCCTTCAAGCTCGGAATGACGAATAAAGGGCCCCAGCAGCTGACAGAGAAGCTCCCTTCCTTATCAGGGGCCGAGCCTGTGAGTAAATCTCAAGGGACACAACTGAACCTTCACATCATAATCACAAGGAAGTCCCTTGCAGCTGGGGTGGATGTACATCCTTTCTGAGTAGTGAAAAGTCCAGCCCAAAGCAGCCTTCCTGCTGGGAGCTCCTGTGCCTGTAGCTGCCTGGGCCTTAACTAGTTCACGGAAATACCTTCCTCAGCTATAACCATTCTCTCCTACCCAAATGGCTCCTGCCCCTTCCTCCTCCTCCTATCTCAGAGGACCGTCTGAATTGACCTGTCAAACCATCAGAGGGACGAGAAAATGGGAGAAGACCAAGGGAATCTCCTGCTCCCTTCACGCCCGCTGCCCAAACCCTCCAGGCCTCCCAGGACTTTGCCCACAGGGAAGGCTCAAGCCCATGTCCAACCTGTGCCTCACCTGGAGGAAGGTAACTACCCCAAAGGGCGTCTGCACGGGTTGCATCTGTGGGTCCTCTGTCAGCAGCATATGCTGAATTCTTGACTCACTGTTATCCAAAGGGCTGTGCCAAGACACATGGTCCCCGCTGCAGAAAGTGTTCTCTGTGGGAGAGACAGGAGGGGGCTCAGTGCATGAGGTCCTGCATCCAGGCCTGGAACCCAGCCTGAAATCTGACAGGCCCGGGCTGGGGGTCTCCCCAGCCTTCCAAGGTACCCCTGTGAAGGAGGTAAAGCATTCACGTGGATGGAGCAAACCAAACATATTCCTGCTGGTCAATTCTGCCAGCCCTCGTAGAAAAGGATAGGCTGCTAGTGCGCATGCTCACTTGGCCTGGCAAGGCCAAAGCCTTCTGGCATCTGCTCCACTTCCCCAGCACCTTCATTTATTTGGGGGGTAGGGGGTGGGGCAGCCATGATTGGGTCTACCAAGAAAGAATAAAGTGATTTATTGTGGGGCCACCTAAATAGATGTCCACAGGGAGACTGGAGGGCAGTGAGAGCCCCTCACCTTAGAAAAATAGACCAGGGTTTCTGTGTTGCTGAAACTGTGCTCAAAAGGGAACACCTAACCTTGGAGGGCCCTGGAGATCTGTCAGCAGTTTCCCCCAGCTAGACAGATTTAGGGAATAGTTCCTCAGGGAGGAACACAGGAGGCTTGAAGTAAATGGAGGTCTGAACTGTGCCTCACACCCCTTGGCAGAGATGTACAGCCTGGAGGGGCGGCTGTTTCCATGAGGACACAGACATTGTGCCCAGGCTGCCTAAGAGAAACATGTGCAAACACGGCCACCTCAGAGCCTCACCACGGAATTTCACACAGGCCCATTACTTAAAAAAAAAAAAAGTGTTTAAGAAGTATAACCACGAGGAAAGAACCACCCACATGGTACGAAGTCTTCCACCACCCTGACTCTTATCTTGGGTGTCCTTTGAAAGGTACTCTGCACTTACCAGCCTGTATGCATCTACAGGTTCTCTAGTATTCTCCTAATACATATAGTAGCACACCATTTTGCACAGTTCACTTAATTATGTATCTCGGAATCACCTCACATCAGCACACAGAAAGCTACCTCCTTCTTTAAATGGCTGTACAGTTCACTGTGGTCTATCACATATGATCTGGGCATCTCAACTGCTGAGGTCTCTTCACTTTTTATCAATATTTGAGGCAAGGCAGAACACACACACACACACACACACACACACACACACACACACACACACACACCAGGGAGGCCTGAGAACGCTTCTGCTCTCATGTGTCCTGGTCTGAAAACTAACTCCCTCCTGTGTCAGGTGAAGTTACACAACCACTTTTTCTGTCCAAAAGAGAGGCTTGGGTTATTGGTCCTAACCTCAAAAGCATTCATTCAGGAGGGAGAAGAAAAACTTCTTCCTCTAAAAGACATGGAATAATAAAGGGGGGAATGGGCATGGCTCCAGGCAGAGCCAATCAGAAACCCTCAAATTTCCAAACACTCTTCCCAGATCCCTCCTCCTTTTACAGAAGTGTATGTCTACAAGCAGCTTGCATTATCTACAAGTTAGAAACAATGCAACAAATGAAAAGATTGAATTAGTAATTAAAACCTTCCTCCACAATAAAAAGTCTAAGCCCATTTAGAGAAGAATTAATACCAATTCTTTACAAACTTTTAAACAAACAAACAAACAAACAAACAAATAAAAGAGGTTACACTTCCCAATTAATTCTATGAAGCCAATATTACCCTGATACCAAAACCAGACAAAGGCACTACAAGAAAAGAAAGCCATAGATCAATATGCCTGATGCACACAGACAAAAATCCTCAACAAAATAGCAACACAGCTATTATTAAAAGGCAAATAACACAACAACTTATAAAAAGGGTTATACACTATGACCAAGTGGGATTTAACCCAGGAATGCAAGGTTGGTGTAACATAAGAAAATCAATATAATATACTATATCAATAGAATAAAGGTTAAAAAAAAACACATGATCATCTCAATAGACCCAAGCATTTGGCAAAATCCAATATTCTTTCATGATAAAAACACTCAAACTAGGAATAGATAGGAACTTCCTCAATCTGTTAAAGGACATCTACAAAAAACCTAGAGCTAACATCATATTTGATGATGAAAGACTGAATTATTTTCTCTAAGATCAGGAACAATACAGAGATTCCCACTCTCACCACTTCGATTCAACACTGTATTAGAGGTTTTAACCAGGACAATTAGGCCAGGAAAAGAAATAAAAATCTGGGTAGGCTGGAAACGAAATAAAACTATCTGTACCTGCAGATGACATAATCTTGTGTATAGAAAACCCTAAGGAATCCACTAAAAAACTCTATTAGGATAAACAAGTTCAGCAAGGTTGCAGGGTACAAGAGCAATGCACAAAAATCACTCGTGTTTCTATACACTAGCAATGAACAATCTGAAAATAAAATTAAGAAACCCTCCATCTACAATAGAATAACAAAGAATACAATGCTTAGGAATAAATTTAACAAAAGAAATGTAAAACTTGTACTCTGAAAACTACAAAACATTGCTCAAAGAAATTAGAGAAGACCTACATAAATGGAAAGATATCCAATGTTCATGGATCAGAAGACTTAATATTATTAAGATGGCAACAGTTCCCAAATTGATCTACAGATTCAATGCAATCCCTATCAAAATGCCAGATGCTATTTGCAGAAATTCACAGGGTGATCCTAAAATTCACATGAAAATGTAAGGGACACAGAATACCCAAAACAATCTTGATAGGAATAAGAAAAGTGAAAGACTTAATTAATCTTCCCAATTTCAAAACTTGATACAAAGCTACAGTTATCAAGACAGTGTGGTATTGGCATACGGATACACATTTGATCAATGTAACAGAATTTAGAGCCCAGAAATAAATCCTCACATTTATGGCCAATTAATTTTCAACGAGAGTGCCAAGACAATTCAATCTAGGAAAGTCTTTTCAGCAAATGGTGCTGGAACAACAGGATATCTACACACAAAAGAATCAAGTTAGAATCCCTCCTCGCACCATAAACAAAAATTAATTCCAAATGAATCATAAGCCTAACTGTAATAGCTAAAACTATAAAACTCTTAGAAGAAACACAGGAGTAAATCTTCTGACCTTAGATTAGGCAATAGTTTCTAAATAGACACCAAAAGCACAAGCAAGAAAGGATATATAAATTGGACTTCATTAAAATTAAAACCTTTTGTGCTGCAAACAGTACCATCAAGAAAATGAAAAGAAATGGAAATCAAAGCCACAATGAGATACCACTTTACATTCATTAGGATGGTTATTATAGAATAAACAAAACAAAACAAACAAACAAAAACAACCCAGAAAATAGTGTTGGTGAGAATGTGAAAAAATTGGAACCCCGTGCACTGTTGGTGGGATTGTAAAATTGTGTAGCCACTGTGGACAACAGTATAGCAACTTCTCAAAAAGTTAAATATAGAATTACCATATGATCTAGCAATTCTACTTCTGGGTATATACCCAAAAGAACTGAAAACAGAGACTCAAACACATATTTGTATACTCATGTTCACAGCAGCATTACTCACAATAGCCAAAAAAGGAAGCAACCCAAGTGTCCATCAACGGATGAATGGATAAACAAAATGTAGTGTTTTATTTTTCAGTCTTAAAAAGGAAGAATATTCTAACACATGCCACAAAAATCAATGAACCTTGAATTAAGCTAGTCACAAAAAACCCCCAAATATTGTGTGATCCCTCTTATATGCGGTACCTAGAGTAGTAAATTCACAGAGACAGAAAGTAGCATGGTGGTTGTCAGGGGCTGAGGGAAGAGAGGATTGGGAGTTAGCATTCACTGGGTATAGAGTTTCAGTTGGGAAAAATGAAAAAAGCGCTGGATATGGATGTTGGTGATGGTTGTACAACAATATGAATATACTTAATGCCACAGAACTGTACATTTAAAAGGATTAAAATGGTAAATTTTGTGTTATGTATATTTGACAATAATTTAAAAAAAAGAAAGAAAATGAAAAGGCAACCCTCAGAATGGGAGAAAAATATATGCAAATCATATATCTATCTGATAGGTATCCAGAATATATAAAGAGCCTTAGAGCGCAATAATATAAAGCAAGTAATACAATTTTTAAATAGGCAAAGGATCTGAATAGCTATTTATCCAAAAAAGATATATAAATAGCCTTAAGTAAGTACATTAAAAGATGCTCAACCTGATTAGCCATCAGGGAAATGCAAATCAAAACGACAATGAGATACCACCACTTCACACCTGCTAGGATGGCTAAAATAAAAAAAGACGATAACAAGCGCTGACAAGAATGTGGAGAAATTGGGACAAACCCTCATACTTTGCTGGTGGGAATATAAAATAGTAGAGCTGCTTTGGAAAAGAGTTTGATGATTCCACAAAATGTTAAACATGGAATTACCATATGACCCAGCAATTCCACTCCTAGGTATACACCCAAGAGAAATGAAAACATGTCCACACAGACTTGTACATGAACGTTAATAGCAACATTATTCATGATAGCCCAAAGGTGGAAACCCAAATGTCCATCAACTAATGAATGGATAAATAAAATGTTGTGTATCCACACAATGGAACATTATTTGGCAATAAAAATGAATGATGTACTGATACATGCTACAACAGGAGCCTTAAAAACACTATGCTACTGAAAGAAGCCAGTCACAAAAGGCCATATGTGATTCCATTTATATGGAATGTCTAGAATAGGCAAATCTATGTAGACAGATAGATTAGCAGTTGCCTAGGGCTGAGATGGTTAGGGGGGAATGGGGAGTGACTGCTATGAGGTTGCTTTTTGGGGTGATGAAAATGGTCTAGGGTTCACTGTGATGATGGTTTCAATAAAGATATTAGGAAGGAAGGAAGGAAGGAAGGAAGGAAGGAAGGAAGGAAGGAAGGAAGGAAATGAAAGGAGGGAGGGAGGGAGAAAGGAAAAGGGAGGATTCTGGGGAGAGGCAAAGTGGGTGAAGCAAGGCGAAGGCCCTGGGTTCCTTGTTACCACCTCCTCATGGTAAGCAGCCTCGCCCAGGAGAAGC